CTCAAAGCTGCAGGGATTTTAGGAACTGTAGCAGCTTGGATCGAAAACTGGTTAACAGACAGGAAGCAGCGGGTAATTATTAGAGGAACAATGTCGCAGTGGGCTTGTGTTCATAGTGGGGTACCGCAGGGTTCAATTTTAGGACCATTATTGTTTCTAATTTACATTAATGATATTGACTCCAATATATACAATAAACTGGTTAAATTTGGAGACGACACCAAGGTGGGTGGTGTAGCAGATACTGATCTAGCAGCAGAGAGGCTACAATAGGATCTGGATTTAATTAGAGACTGGGCTGATAACCTGGCAGATGAAATTTAACGTACATAAATATAAGGTAATCCATGCAGGGAGCAGAAATATGAAGTACAGATATTTTATGGGTTCCACTAAAATATAGGTAGCTGATTATGAGAAAGACCTTGGTGTGTATGTTTATGCTTCCATGTCCCACTCTCACAAGTGTGGGGAAGCAATAAAAAAAGCCAATAGGATGTTTGGTTATATCTCTAGGTGTGTGAAGTTTAAGTCAAGGGAGGTGATGCTACGATTATACAATTCCTTGGTAAGACCCCACCTAGAATATTGTATGCAGGTTTGGTCACCATACCTTAAAAAGGACATTGCTGCCTTGTAAAGGGTTCAATGTAGGGCTACAAGAATGATTCCTGGTCTTAGAGGAATGTCTTATGAGGAGAGGTTAGCTGAGCTGAATCTGTTTAGCCTTGAGCAAAGGAGACTAAGGGGGGACATGATCCAGGTCTATAAGATTCTAACAGGTCTCGATGCTGTTCAGCCAAATGACTACTTTAATATTAGCTTAAATACTAGAACTCGTGGCCATAGGTGGAAATTAGCGGGAGAACATTTTAAACTGAATTTGAGAAAGCAGTTCTTTACACAGCATGTAGTTAGAGTATGGAATAGACTTCCTACTAATGTAGCGCAAGCTAAAACACTGGGGTCCTTTAAATCAGAGCTAGATAAGATTTTAACAACTCTGAGCTATTAGTTAAGTTCTCCCCAAACAAGCTTGATGGGCCGAATGGCCTCCTCTCATTTGGAAATTTCTTATGTTCTTATGTGTAGCCTGCAACCCTCAGACAGATGAATGAGGTGGATGGTGCTGAAAGCAAGATGGTGGATATGGACTGGGTACCCATCAGCTGGTCTGGGGGGCTTCACTGGACAGGAGTTTTAAGGTCTGTGTATGTGTCATTCGGGGGACTTTGACAACCAGATGAACAGGGAAGTGTCAGTGGTCCTGATGGCCATGAACAGCCACCTCCGAAGCCCAACTGATGCGCCTGATTGGCCACACATGGCAGGGTGACAAAGTCTGTACCACCATCAACAGGAAAACTACAAAATGTCATTAAAATCTTAATACATGGACACATTCTTGTTTAAACCTGTTTTTTAGCATAGCACCCAGAAGTAGCCAAATTTCATTAAACTTGGTGTGACCACCCACTGAAATTTCACTACACTTAGTGTGACCACCGACTGAAATTTCACTACACTTGATGTGACCACCCACAGAAATTTCACTACACTTGGTGTGTGGCACCCAGGTCTCCAAGGAAGTGTACCAAGTTTTATGCCAATGAACAAAAGCATTGCAGAGATACGGCCACTCTGCCTGTATGATGCCTTCACCGGTGAATTTATGAAATACTGAAGCCAAATTTTTCATCCTGGCAATTATCCTTTAATAACTTTTAAAGACAATAGCCCTAAGAGGTAACACCCAAAATCTCATTGTGACATAACTCTAGGAGTAGGTGGTTAAATGTGTTTTTGACAAAATCAAAGATACATGAAACACAAGATTGCTGATGTGGAGGTTTAATAAGTTCCTAGTTATGATCTGTAATTTTGACGCAGTGCAAGAAATGTAGTTTTGTGCCAGCGTAATGGTGATTTAAATATTTTCTAATCGTATAGCGCCCCCAAGTGGACAAATTTCATGAAACTTGGTGCATGCCCAGTGCACCAGCAAAGTACTGCTGAGATATCACTCACTTCCTGATTTGGGCATCTTTTACCATCAGATTTCATTTGAAGACTGTGGCTGTATCACACAACCCATTACAATTCTTTTGGTCTGAAACGTCTCTTGTTGATTAATTCCAAATTTGTTTGCTATTCTGTCAATGGTCTAGGACAAGTCCGCAAAAGTGTGTTTTTGTAAAAATTCAAAATTTGTTTAGTTTTTTTTTTTTTTTTGTTAATCCAATACAACGGATGACTTTATTCAATTCAACCTGACCCAAGGATTCATTGGAAATAAGGAGCACAACTCTAGGACAAACACTTCAAAAGTTATAGCCTAAGCAAAAATGTGCCCTAAAATTTCATCTGTTGGTGACTCCACAAGGACTGATGAATTGAACCCAAATTTGGTGCCTGGATACCTTGGACTGGTACTTGATGATATTCTCACTGACAAAAAAGTAAAATTTGGCGTGAATTCAACCAAGCATTGCTCACATATGGCTCACTTCCCTGCAAAATTATTTTGAAAAACTTTTTGTCAGAATCCTCTGTAGATGATACATTCCAAATATTGTGCTGATAGCATCAACAATCTATGACTACTATGCAAAAGCAGGTTTGTCAAAAAATTAAAAATGACAGACAATCCGATATGGCAGACATTTCTGGCAGTTGGTGCCCTCGAATTGAGATGCCCCAAGAATTCAGGGAGAAAAATAGATCAAAACCCCAAAACTAACAGTTCAAAATTTATAAGCAAAAATGTACCTTGAAATTTTACCTGTTGGTGGTGCTACTGAGATATAGATGGATTGACCCCGAATGTAATAACTGGATACTTCAAACTGACCTCCCATGGAAGAAAGTATTATAATTGTGAAACACTTTAACAATAGGTGCCTTGCACCTTCAGTGCTTGGTACCTAATTATATGAATTGTAAAGTTTGGTCATTAGTTGTATAAACTTTGGGAAGGAAATCAGAAATGTTATTTATGCATTTTTAAAATCATATAAAATCAAGATGTTAGATTGCACTAGTATGTTCTTCCACAATACAGTAAAAATACATTTATATTTATTTTAAAACTGACTCAATCTGGTTGATGACTATGACTCACAAGTAAGATTTTTATTAACATGCATAATAATTTCTCTTACCTCCCTAATTAGCACATCAGTAGTAGGTGACCAGATAATCCATGTCAAGGAGGACACTTTGAGCTACTTCGGGTTTTACAAACTACTTCCAAATTAAAAGGCTCCTGTGCTCGGCTAAAGAGTTCAGCTCTTCTTGTGCTTTGACTGGTTTGTTTCCTTGACTGAAAGACTCATCCAGCTGTTTTACATTAGCATTAGTGACACATGCATGCTTATAGGAGACTGACCAATCAACACACAGCAAGAACTCGGTGCTCAAGTGAAATCCAAGTCCGTTTAATTGAAATGGTAATTTACAATTCCTGTCCTAGCTCAGAGTGTCCTCCCTGACATGGATTATCTGGTCACCCTAATCAGTAGGTGCGACCTTGCAGTTACTTACAGAACTGCTCTTAAGATCGTACATTACATTGTTTTCAGGCAGTTTAATGGGTTTATCTCATTTTTAAAAACTTACATATTATACATCACAATTAGTCTTACATTAGTTTAATGTATGAATATCTTACATTAGTCTACTTCCCCAGATTATTATATTTACTGATCTATAACTATCCATATTTGATCGTTCATTAGAACGTAATTATGGGTTGTAAGCATTTTGTAAGCAATTTATTGTGACCAAAGGGGAAAAAGATACGATGTACACAATATCCCAATTTACTGAACTGATATGTCACTTTAGGAGCAGGTGCAACTGCGCATGCCTGACCTGAAACGTCACGCCAGCGCCATACGAGCCATGCAGCGACGGAGCAAAGACCTGTTTATAAAAGTCAAATGAATGTAATAATTATATGTACTATCATGCATTATAGCTGATAGCTAAACACTGTAAAGTAAATTACACCATGCCAAAATCAAACAAAAAATCTAGCGTACAGCCTTCTATTAGCAGATTCTTTAGCGGATTTAAGAAGAAAACAGAAGGGGATGGTTCTGCAGCAGATGCACACAGCTTTGCCGCTAAGCACTTCGGAGGCAAGGTCAGGCGGTGTGTCTGAAGTATTAACTGGTTGCTAGCAGAAGCGTTTCATTCTCATTGTATCATAATTGTGCGTAAGGAACTGAAATTTTTAATGAATGAACGAACAACGTAGAAAAAAAATCATGCTTCCCATTCAAAAACTAAAATCTAACTTTAGTTAGAGGATGAACATTCATTGATAAATGATCATTGGTTGCATTTTAGCTTGCACTTTAGCCGTGGAAAAGAGGACTAGCCTTAAATGACTGTTTACTACATTTGTATTTATTCATTTTGCAAACTTTTCTGCAAAGCAACCTGTTCGGTGGATCTTAGTAAAACGTGAATTAAGAAGCAAACACCGAGCATCGACAGAAGCAAGTAGTTGGCTGGTGTAGTGCACCCAACTAACTTTGCCTTTCTGAATTTGGGTAAAGGGGATAAAGAAGAAACTGTGTGAAGATGAGGGTGGATCGCAAATAAAACGGGTTCGGATTTCCCATGACTGGGAAAAGGATAACGCAATCTGCAGTGACAGAATTGAAGGTGAGAGATCCTGCACAGCTGTCAAAATGTAGTGTAGTGCTTGCAGTGGAGTTTGCATGTTTACCCCGGGTTTGTGTGAATTTCCTTTGGTCGTGTGCGTGAGCTCATGCTCTCTGTTGCATTCTAAGTGTCCCCCAGCTCACTTATAGAGGGATGGACTCTAGACCCACTGCGACCCGTACTGGGTATATGCTTATGGGAATTGGATGCAAGGCATGTTTATCTGTGTGTAGCACCATTGAATTTGGTTTGGTATAAATGAACTTGTACTGAAATGCTTTCAGTGACAACTCATGGCCCCAGTGAATGAATGATTTAATCTTGTCTGGCTGAAGGTGATGGGCAAGTCAACTCTAGAAGCAGTTTGTCGTCTGTCACCTTGCACCGGCTCAGAAGCTTCAGGTGCCCTGGAGAACCAGAGGACAACAGAAGCCCTGGGCTGATGGTGGGAGGTAGTGGGACTGAGAGCCATAATGTGGGACATGGAGAGGGACCATCTAACAGTGTGGGATGGAAGCCAGAGGAAGAGGAGACGAGTCTGGGTGTATCATCAAAAAATCAGGTAGGGATGTCCGAAAATATGTAGATTCAGAACCAGTGCATTTTGAATACAATGCTTACAAGTGTTCAGAACCAATAATAAGAACATCAGATTTGATATGACACTAACATCAAATTAGAAAATTTCAGATTTCACACTATTCATAAAGCATATTCAAAGTAAATCTTAGTAACCGTCATGCCCCCAGCCAATGTCAAAGATCCAGGCATTTTTAAATTGACTGTTATCAGCTCCCACAGCCCACTCCAAAGCCCAATCTATGTAATTTCCCACATCCACCTAATTTACGTCAGTTGAGCACATTGCATCACATGCTGCAGTAAGCCTGAGGCAAATAGCTTGAAACTACAAACTATGGACATCTCATCTGTGTGGAAATTATTTATATTGGAAACTAAAAGTAGCCCATTCTGCACCTGTAATATTTGCAGTGCTATCCTTTGGAAAGTAGGTAGTAACAGAGTGTTGTTTACGATTTTTTTCAATTGCTTTGGAGCATTTCTCAAATGACAAGTAACATTTGCAAAACAAGAAGTATGATCACCACACCATAATGCCACTTGTCCATTGTTTCACACAAATGTTTTAGTCCATGTATCCAAATAGTCTTATACAGTTGTATTCATTTGGTATAATTTTCAGTTGCTTGAGTCCTTTTGGAACTAAGGTTTTCAGTAAAGTCAAGCCAGAGGCTTTTAAAGATTATTTTATTGAAAACTAATGTTAAATATCTTATTTATATTGTTTTGTTGCTTTGTAACAATTTCATTTTTATTTTTATTTGTTCAATCTGTTTTACTGTCCGTTTGCTCGCCATGAATATAGCCCAGGTTGCTGGCATGGCATTAAATGTTAACAAAACTAACAAATTGAGTTTTTGTAGTTTCCTACTGTAATAATTTCACACCCAAAAGTGTAAGTGATCATCGTGTAAGCCATCACATGCAAAACAGTTTGGATAATGGATTTGCGTAATGCATTGTAGTATTTTTAAAAGGCAGTTGCTTTACTCTTTCCATTTGTTTTTTTCTCTTTTGTTGATGTCTGGAATTAAATACAGGGCTTTACCCTGAGTCACTTTGCCAGCTCGAGCAGTGGAGGTGCCGTAGGGACAAGCACTGCTCAGAAAAATTCCAGCGACAGCAGTAGCATCAACAGGAGAACCAAAAGCATCTACACTCCTCTGGAGCAACAATTCATGGACATCAAGGGGCAGCACAAAGACGTCCTTCTGTGTGTTGAATGTGGCTATAAGTACAGGTTCTTTGGGGAAGATGCAGAGGTGAGAAAATGGAGTATTTCTGACCAGAGTATTTTCATAAAACGATGATGCAAGAACTTGACATTTTACTAAAGAGTCGTTGAAGGTGGCCCTTGTTTTTCAGTTGTCTGCTAGGTAGTAAATGCTGCTGAATTTCTTGCATTGTCATAGATTGCAGCAAGGGAACTGAACATTTTCTGCCACATGGATCATAACTTCATGACGGCCAGTATCCCCACGCACCGTCTGTTTGTTCATGTTCGGCGTCTGGTATCCCAGGGTTACAAGGTCAGTCACTCGTGCCCAGTATCGTCCCTGTTAAAGAACCTGACCTATGCTTATGATTGTAGCCATTTATGCTCATTTTTACATAACATTTTTAGGAGTACTTAAGTTACACATTCGGTTATATTTGTTTTCTGCATTGTTCACTTTTGCTCTCCTTCTGAACTTGATCTTCATGATGGTTGATGGATTGGGTTGTGTGTAATTCTGTACTTATTAAAGAATCCATTATTTGAGACAGAGGTACTGTAGGAATACGTGTGTCGTTAGTTTTTTGGTTTTTCTGTTTTAAAATCAGAACAGGAAAAAGGAAAATCAGGAAAAGAAAAAAACAGGCTTTATGTTTTGTTTTTCTATTTTAAACCAAACTGTTTTTGTGATATTTACGGTAATTATTATATTAACATTTTAATATTTACAGTGCCAGTCATAAGTCTGGAAACACTTACCCATAGACGGGTTTATTTGTACTATTCTCTACATCTTAGGATAATTATGAAGACATCAAAACCATAAAATAAACAGCATAGACTTGGTTACCAGCATGGCCAGTGTAATGCTTATACCAGCATATGCTGTGTTTTGCTGCTGGTAGACCAGCATCATTAATGAAATATTACTGGTAGACCAGCTTCATGTGCAGGTAGACCAGTACAGCTATGCTGGTCCACCAGCTCCACCAGCATGCTGGTTTAGAGTGCTCTGTAAAAAAAATGGTTTATCGTATTCCGATATTAACTCCTGGCAAGTTTCACTGCCGGCACCTGATATTAGAAAAAAGTTTATTGGTTATCAATCGATTTTTCCGATGTAGGAATATGGGGATGCAAGTAAAAAAAAGTATTCATTAAATGTAACTGAAATCCAAAATGAATTCCATCTACTCCCAATGGTGCCGACCACAGGATTTGAACCAGCAACATTCTGATTCCCAACCCACAGAACTGCCCCACTCCACCCAACAAATAATCTTTTAAATACTTTTGTGGTCCGTGCATAAGCCACACACCTGCTAAAAATAGACAGCATAGACCAGCATGATTTCCATGCTGGTGTATGCTGGTTAGAACTGGTTTGGTGCTGGTGTAGCTGGTGGACCCACATAGCTGTACTGGTCTACCTGCATATGAAGCCGGTCCACCAGCAATATTTCATTAATGGTGCTGGTTCACCAACACCAAAACACAGCATTTGCTGGTCATGCTGGTAACCAGTTGAGCTGGTCTATGCTGTTACATGGATATATTATATTGTAGTTTTAATGTGTTATATGTTACATTGTGTGGCATCCCCTGGATTTAACGTAAATATCACAAAAACGAAACAATAACACACAAAACAAAACATGAAGCCAATTTTTTCCTTTCCCTGTTTTTCATTTTTCCCATTGCGATTTTAAAAAAGAAAAACCAAAAAAATGCTGCAGATTTTTTGTTTTTCTTATTTCTGTTTGAAACAGAAAATTCAAAGAACGAACGAATTTGTAGGTCTCAGTTACTAATTTTGATGATGCTTTATTCACAAGTGTAGAAGTACAGGAAGGTAGGAATTCTTTAGCTTTCACAGATCCCGTTCTGCTCTCCCATGAGACACACACTTAGATTAGAGAGTGAAGCTTAGGTCTTTGGGAATAAGGGCTTTGCTCAAGGGCCCGATTCTGGTTTGATTACCCTACCAGGCACAAAATTCGAACCAGGAACTTTCCAGTCACTGGGACAGACTCCTACCTGACACACAATAGTACTCGGGTGTACAGTTGCTGTTGAGTTTTCTGAAACGCGGCTCCCATGGGGTCCCAAGCACAGGTGGGCGTGGTGAAGCAGACGGAGACCACCGCCCTGAAGGCCTCTGGTACTAACAGGAGCTCCCTCTTCACGCGCCAGCTCAGTGCCCTGTACACCAAGTCCACCCTGGTTGGGGAAGGTATCCTCTGAATAATTTATTTTCAAAGCATCTTCCGGAAGAAAATGTTGATGTCACATCAAACATTTCAATACCACTAAACCACTGTTAAATCTGTTATAAGTTGTATTTCTATAAACAATATATTTTTTTCCCTCTTTTACATTGTATAGTTACTTGTAATGCAGGGAGTATCCAAATAGACCCCCCACCGGTTAATATTACTGCTGTGTTTGGTGTGGTCCATAGTCCTTGACAGTTATAAACACAGATATGAACCCACTGCTGAAGCCAGGAGACCTGGAGGAAGCTGCAGATGTGGTCGATACCCCTAACAGCTACCTGATGTGTGTGAGTGAGAGCTGGGACAGCGTGAAGAAGCAGCTGACAGTGGGGCTTGTGGTACGGCCTCCTTCTTCACATGCGACATCCATTGTGTTCCTCGTGTTTCATCTGAATTCATCCGTTGCATGTTTGTTTGTTTGTTTGTTTATTTCTATAACCTTTTATAAGGTCCTTACCAAGTATTTTCACAAGGGCTCTGTTATGATTCCTAGTGGCACAGTTAAATTTATGAATGGGGGGGGAAAGTCAGAATTATTTGTTTTTCTTAGTTTAGTGTTAGAGTTTTGTATTTGTATAGTCAGTAGTGGAGCAAACTAATGGTGTTCCTGTTGTTGTGCTTTTTAGATGAATCAACTGTTGACACTTCTCTGCATGGATGCTTACAATTATAATTGATTGAACAATGAAATTATCATTTAGCAATGATTTTGTTTTTTTTTTCCCTCTGACAATGATGTGCCAGTAAGGATAGAGAGATGAAGATTACTAAATCTCTGTGGTCTTGTATTTGGTCCAGGCAGTGCAACCCTGCACAGGAGATGTGATGCTGGACTGTTTCTCTGACGGGCCCTCCCGTGCGGAACTGGAAACCCGCGTGATGCGTGTCCAGCCCGTGGAGGTCCTGGTACCTACCGACGTCTCTGAAGAGACGGAGCGCTTGCTGCGGGGAATCGCATCGGCCAGGTAAGCCAAAGACACATAAAGTTAGCGTGTTTCTAAGAATGAAAAGCAGTTCAATAAAGCGTGTCGCATCCATACTCTCTTAAAAAGAAATACTTAAAGGAGCCTGGTACCGAAATTCAGTTATTTAATATATTTCTATTGATTACACTGGTCAGCAAAGATTTTGTCACAGAACAACTACAGGGTGTCTTTGATGTACTTGTTATGTTATGCTGATTTCAGAATTTTGCTATCACTCATAGTTTTTGAGTTGCATCATTTTTTGGCTGTATTGATATACAGTGGTACCTCGGTTCTCGAACTCATTAGAACTCGAATCTCTTAAAAGTCGAACCAACCAGTTAAAATTTTTTTTACCTAGAACTTGATTTGAATCTCAGAAGTCGAACCGTGAACTTGTATGCGCGGGGAAATGAGTCACACAGTCGCTGGGGTTTAAACACAAGAAGCCATTTGATCTTCTAAAATGACTTTTGTCACTTCAGTTTTGTAGTTTTCTACAGGTTATTTTCTTTTTTATATTAACAGCAGTGATTATCCACCCATCTTTGGACAGTTTATCCTAAACAGGGTCATCTTAGTAAGCATATGGAATAAGTAGACCCATCATGGGGGGGCACACGCTCCCAGTCACAGGCTTCAGTCTCAGCCTCACATTCGCTGTGTAGCATCGTGCATGTTTACACTAGCTGAATACATATATTTAGACAGTAAAAATACATTTAGACAAAGATAGATAGTAACAGTAATTATATAATAAAATACATTTAAAAATAAAGATTGATTAATTATTTTAATATTAATAATAAACCATTAATACATTTAATTATAATAATATTGCCGTGCCAAGCGGGGACGGAACGGAGACAAAGGCGCAGACGTCAGGGTATCGGGGAATACGGGGTTTAATTAGAGGTAAGGCAGGCAAAACGGAGCCGGACTATCGGGACAGGACACATTGTTTTTTTTTTTTTAACTTTACACATTATTTGGATACATTTATTTTCTTACTTTACAAATTACTGTTTTGATAAATGTGCTTAGATGTGTTTAGTACAGTATGTGCTCTTGTTTTATCTGGTTCATTTTGTGTTTAAATGCTAAAAAAACATATTTAGGTGTAATTTTTTGGGGCCGGGAACCAAATAATTGGTTTTCCATTATTTCTTATGGGGAAAATTCGATCAGAACTTGAACTTTTTAGGATTCGATCCGGACTTCTGAACGGATTAAGTTCGAGTTCTGAGGTACCACTGTATATATAATTTCTGATTAAGGATATATGGATATATTGAAATTTAATTTAGGAAAGTGATTTTGTTTCTATTTATGAACATTTTTAAGACTTTACAGAAGGGCACAAAGGACTATAAGTCTGTTTTGCCAGAGTTTACAGGCTATAACCCGTTTGGATATGTCATCAGGAAATTCTTGATATGGAAAAACAATATCAAGGCAAGTAGAGTCCCAGTATGCTTGCTGACTTCTGCTGGACCCTGAGGGATGTTCCTGAGGCCAAGTACAGTAGAAAATCAGACTTTTACCTCTTAGATGAATCTCTTCCTCCATGTACATATACGGTAAATATACAAATATCACAGAGGTTAATTGTGTATCACTCAAAACCCTTGTGTGTTATGGAAATTCTGATTAGATATTTGAGTTCAGCACAAAAAATACTGTAAGATTTGAACCAGGACATTTCCCTGGGGGGCCCTGTCTTAATTTCAGTCTCATGATAAAACATTGAAAAGCTTTGAAAACACTATATACAGTTAGTATAGTATACTACAACATGGGTAATGCATTCCTGAAAAACCTCGCATTGACTAAATAATTAATTGTTAAAGATACCTTTATCTTTACCGTTATAACAATAGAACTACTCTGTGACATAAAATCTTGCTTTGAATTGTGTGTTCTCTGTAGTGATTCATTTCCTGACTTCCCTAGTAGGCTACCTGCTAAAATAAAATGATAAAAAATATGGTGAATGTAGCAAACACATTCAAATATCATAAGTACATGTAGAGTACATCTTGCAGAAGAAGCTTCATGGATTTTGGCAGTTTTTCTTCTATACTAAAAATAAACACAGCATTACCACTAGATGTCAGTGGTTGGCAACTATTTTCTTTGGAATGTCAAGCATACAAGTTTATATATAAATTCTATGGGTGATAATGATTTTATGTTTTACGATAGTGGTTGTTGCTTTCCTTAACCAGTAATGTTATGAAACCTGATGTCAAAATAAGATTCAGTTGGACAAATAGGGATTAGTAACATCTATAGTAAGATCCTACAAGATATATGTTTGTATGTCTAAATAAATACTGCGGAAAATCCCTGTCAAAACCTATAGGTCACTGAACATTTTTTATGATTGTTTAAAATTTGTTTTGTGTTACTCATGTAATTTATATAATTTCTTCTCTGTTTTATTATAATTATCATATGGAGTCTATCCAAATGTATCCAGTCTCAAAGCATGATCATCAGAGTGAATATATTGGCAGAATTCTAAATAATTAGCAATGAAAATGCTCCCCCCCACATGCATTATCATTTAGCTAAGGGAATATCAGGAAAAACCTTTTGCCAAATTAACTTGCACCTATCAGCAAATGAGACCATTTTGTCAGAGGGTGAATCTGGGCTTATTGTATAAATCATTCAATCATTCATTCATTCATTTATTTATTTATGGGAACTTCCATTGAATCCTTATGGTGATAAAACTGCAGCTGTATTTATCTGACGGTAGAAATATTACTCATATACTTGGCCCTTTACAGACTGCGTGAAATGTGCTAATGTTTCTTTTTGTCGAGAGCGAGCCCGCCCAGAGAACCTGAAACGCTGTGCTTTGTCTTCTGGAAGATGCAGTTCCGTGTTAGCACAGGAGGAAGAGATCTACAGCGTCAAACCTTTTCATATTACGCTGTTGAGTGTTTGGGGGTGGGTACATCTCATCCGAGGCACGTTCCTTTGAGCGCGAGCGAGACGAAGCCGGCGCGACCCCTCCGACAAAAGGCGGCATTGCACAGCTTTCCTCAAGGACGGAGGCTCAAGGACCTGTGGATGGGAGACTGTTGCGAAAGCATCCGTTAGATTCATGTGGCTCTTAATGAACGCTGCCGCTTGAGGTGCAGAAAAGCGCTACAGACAGTTTTCTGATCAAAATGCATTAATCCGATAAAAAATAAAACATTCCTTGTGAAGCATTTCTGCTCTGACTTGGATAAGATTTCCCCGAAGTATATTTTTTGTTGAATGGCTGGTAATTGCGTTGCTCTGTTAGGGGGGCAAGCGTGAGCTGAAAAGGAAGTGACTGTGTGATTAGGAGGGAAAAAAGTGTTTAGCATTCAAAAAGGTTTATGATGGAAAAGGACTGAAGGACAGAAATTGAAATGACAGAGACTAGGGTCTGTGCTAATGGAAGAGGTTACCATCTCTGCTTCTTTTATCAGTGCCTTTCTCTTTGTTTATCATTGCTTTGTAGATAAGCAGGTTCAGTACTTTTTTGTTGGCAAATAAGAAAGGTAGGGTATTAACAATGATGCTCTTTAGAATTCCCACAGGCGGTACCCAGGGAGTTTTATGGAGCTCTTCTTAAACTGAATCGAACAGACAGTTCTGACGTCGATTGGCTCAGAAAGGAGTCTGAATCTCCGGGGGCTAATTCCGAGAGAGTGTTAATGTGCTGCCAAATCCTTCCCAGCTGTTGGCCCCCAGAGAGTTTGGAGGTTGCTTTAATTAACTGCAGCTTACTGCTTCTTGTTTTGTTTGGGAGTGATTGTTTAATTTCCATTTCATTTTAGTGCTTTGGCAGTTGGCCAGGGGTTTAAACACAAGAAGCCATTTGATCTTCTAAAATGACTTTTGTCACTTCAGTTTTGTAGTTTTCTACAGGTTATTTTCTTTTTTATATTAACAGCAGTGATTATCCACCCATCTTTGGACAGTTTATCCTAAACAGGGTCATCTTAGTAAGCATATGGAATAAGTAGACCCATCATGGGGGGGGCACACACTCCCAGTCAGACATAATGGAAAATGTAATGACTCACCTTAGCCTAATATCATTGGACGGCAGGTGCAGACTGAAGTACCCAGAGGATACTCAGAGAGAGATTCAAACCCCCAGTCCTGCAGGGAAGACTTAGAATCAGCGATTACTGGTTTTTAGTTACAAGCATTGTTTCTGAAAGTACTCATTGATAAAGTTGTACTCAAATGACAATAAAAATTCAAAGAAAGCGAAGAAACTATGTGTCCAAGAACGGGTACTAGATTTGGTATTAAAAATGTCTAAGTTGTATGATAGTAATAAAATGCTTTTTTTCCAGAAATGAACTTTATGCATGCAGGATTTGTCACCACTCTTTGTCAGAACTCATTAGCAAATGGTATGACTTAGGACGAGGTGATAGCAAAGGGACCTTTAGGTGATTCAGTCCGTTTACTGTTTTGTAGTAACAGTCAAAAGAGAAAGCAGCAGCGATGCTGAAAAGAATTACGATACTGAGGCAGCCAGCAAGTTAAGCTCACTGGTTAATTATGCCAACCGTAGCTTTCGAAGGCATGTGCTTAACTGGGCAAGTGTGAAGAAGATTCGGGATAAATGAAAATGCATGTGCTGCTGAAATTGTAAAAGTCACAGGATGCAGTTTTGTCAATTTCAGGAAAAAATCGTTTGGCTGAATGTGGACTGTGGGGGCTTTAACAGAAACGTAAGGAGGCTTCCCAAGGGCTGCAGTTTTCTGGTCAAAGTAATTAGTACTACCAGTGAAAGAGGGTGAGTCTGACAGGGTTTAATGCTGCCCTCTGCTCCTTTTCCTGCTGATGCTTGGGCACTGAACGCACTACTTTGATCTGCACCCTGCTGGTATAATAAAGATGAACCACCTGGCTGTGTGTGTGTGGTCATGGGAGAAGTAGGTCATCACCATGAGAAGTGCTGACACAGGACATGTACAGATCTGCTAGTGTGCCAGTGAGTGCTTGCTGTGTGCCAGTGAGTGCTTGCTGTGTGCCAGTGAGTGCTTGCTGTGTGCCAGTGAGTGCT